GAGAGAGTGTGTGTGTGTGTGTGTGTGTGTGTGTGAGAAAGAGAGAGAGAGAGAGAGAGAGAGAGAGAGAAATTTATCATGTTCATTCCCTGTCACCTAAGTATGGTAAAGTTGTGGGACCACAATAAAAAATGACCTCTTTCTTGTATTCATCAAGAGCTGTATTAACCATGCTTGGTAAGAGCCAAATGATCTGCTGATCATCTCAGAGTGCACACTGGCTAATATTAATTAAAGCTGTTCTCCAAATAACTTGAGTCTGAACTCTTTACAACATCACAAGAAAAGGCTATGGATTCAAATGATAGAACCACATTAACAATGCCCACATTTTTGCCTTTGAGTAAGAGTGATTAATATTGAAAGCCCAACATGGAGGGATGCCTTAGAGAATACAGGGAGTAGGCTTTTTCTCCAGCTAGATTATTCTTGTGGTCAGTGATTTCTCAGTTGTCAAGCATGTCCTTTGTCATCTTAGCTTCCCCACTGCAGATGCAGGGGATTGAACCTAGGATCTTCTGGGTGCAAAGCATGTGGTTTTCCAATGACCTATGGCTGTGCTCTGAAGTCGTCTTCACATCCAGAGCTTTCCCCTCCAATCAGGCAGTGCCAGAAACATAACCCTGCCTTAAGGAGACACCTCCGTACGTGTGTGCTAACACATCAAGTCTGCATATGATAGGTTTCAGAGAAAGAAATAGCTTTATTGTGATGTCACAAATACTTCTGAACAGATGTTACAAACATGTGCACAACTGCATTTCACACAGAATTTTCAATAAGAAGGGGTACGGAGGGTGAAGGGAAAGCAGTACTTTTCTTTCAAGAAAATAATGTCCCAAATGTAATGTAGGGTGGGGGAACTGTAGCCCATATACCATACACAGGCCTCAGCTTAATTTGATTGAGTTCCCAGCACCACACAACTCTGTGGATCCAGTCTTGCTTTCCAGGTCACTTTCCCCAGAACAAGATAAGAAAAACACATTGTAAAGGGTGAAGAGTTAAGTGGTATATTCTCAATTTCGGTCATAATGTCTCCATTCCATTTTCCTTTTTATGTGTCAGGCAACTAATAAAAAGCCTTTCAGTTATGTCCTCAGGTCTGCAGTTGGTATTATCAAACCAATGGGATGCACTATACATAGCTTATGCATGGCTCTTTCAAATTGTGTTGGCAGGGTTCTTTTCCCATGATACAAGACACTTAGCTTGCTTTTGCTTTCAGCCAACTCTGTATCTCTTACTTTATAAGCATGGTTGAAAAAGGGGCAGTTGTCTCCTGAAAGATCTCAGAAACTATATGAACCAGAAGCATGTTACTTTTGTATGGCTGAGTACTACGCATTCCCCTGCTTAAATAACTTGGACAAACTATACTTCAGCAGCAATTTCCCTAGAGCAGTGGTCCCCAACCTCGGACCCCCAGATGATCTTGGACTACAGCTTCCAAAAATCCTAACCAGCACAGCTAGTGGCAAAAGTTTCTGAGAATTTCGGTCCAATAACATTTGGGGACCCAAGACTGGGAATCATTGACCCCGGCTTGTTTATTTTCCAGTTTGTATGTCCTAAAAGGTCTTCGAAATACTAAGAGCTAGAAACACTAAATTTTGAAGAGATAATAAAGATTTCCTAATTTAAATAATTGGATTAATCCATGTTGTTAGAAGTGACCACACCAAGGGGGACCAAAAATTTTCTACTGTGGCCTTTAGCCTCTGGAACAAAATGCCAACCGAGACACATCAGTCTCCTTTCCTCTTCATGTTTGGAAAGCTGGTGAAGACGGAACTATTTAGAGCTTCTTTTAATAAGAGAATCTCCTGGATGCCATATCAAGGCATTCC